CGGGAATGGCAGTGGAAATTTGCTCTTCGATGCACTTGTTCACACAAACCAGAGTGTCTTTCTGTATAAGCATTCTCTGTGCGTCACTTAACTCCTCTTCAGTCCCCTTGAATTTATCATGGGCTTGGTGAGAACACTGACGGGCGCATGATTGGAAGCGATTCTAAAATACGGACGAGGGAGAAGTGAATCTTGAATGTGATTAAACAGTTTGGGTGCACGTCAGTGCGGATCTGATTCAATCATTATTTCGAATAGACAACCACAGGATTAACTTCCTTAGCTCTCCAGAGAATAACTAAATCTTGATAAAGATGCTATAAAATTACCAAATACCTAGGAGGAAAAAAGAAAACATATCAAAACCAAACCGACTCTAAGAGGTGAAAAAGCATCTGGCAGGAAAATTGAAAACATTTAACCAATCCTTCTGTGCAACCCATCTACACTCATTTATTGTAAGTCGAATGACGACAGATAAAAGGCTTTCCAGAATACTGTTTCATGAAAGGTGTTGGGATCACACAGACGGGAAGTCGCTTGACGTGCAACATAGAAGTGAAGACTAAACCAATGAGGGAGAATGATGTCCCGAACAAAATACAGGCGAGATGCTATTAAAAGTGCACACTTCTCAGTATGAATATACAGAGTTGGTTTAAAATGATAAATAGGTGCTCGGCGAGAAGAAAAAAGTCGGAAAACGAATGCTAGAAGGAATTGGATTCATGAAGATTATCAAATGTAGGCCATAGCGGAAAAACGCGCATAAAAGAGGTGGCAAGTGTAGACTTTCGGTATCCTTAGCTTTTGAAGAGGTAAGATGAGAAGACATGCGAATGAATTGTGACAGACCCAGAAATGATCCATCAACCGGTAAATACCTCTTGTTACGTGCTCAGAGGTTTCCACAAAAGAAATAATTTCACTTGATTTTGAAATTAAAAACCCCAAAGTGGTTCAATTTAACAGGTAACTAAACAATGAGAAGGAGATAGAAATGCTAGTAAGATATTCTTAGTTATCTAGCTTTCATAGGCCATAGGAAAGGTCGAAACTATAACCTATTTTAGTTGACATGAATATATAAATAGTAATTGCCAGGAGTATTGATATAATTGCGTAAACTGAATTTAAATTAGTCATTGACGAGTCAATCACTCTACTGGCCTAGTAGTAACTCGGGGCTGCGGAAAAATCAGAACAAAAAATACAAGAAAATAAACACACCTGTAGAGTAGTAAGTTCACCTTGAACTAGATTTTGGGCACTTGCAACAGGTTGTTCGCAGCGTTCGATACAGGACTGGACTTGCTCAGTGGAGTACTCTCTGTTATCGCAGCACTTTTTGCCACATCCAAAATAGATAGACTATTGCATGGCATAAACGTGCTTATACTAAATTACCTGCATATTGCGAAGAAATTTGGTATCCCAATCCTTGATTGCGCCATTTATGGCATCAGAATACTTATTTTGGAGCTTCTTTGCTTCGTTTTCAAGCTGAAAAAGGAAATTAGTGATGAGACAGCACTTACTGCTATCGGATCCATGAGTAATTCCTAATGCTACGTAAAAAATGAAATATCTAAAATAAAGCGAAATTAAATGTCAGAAGGCCAAATTTTGATAATGAAGATAAAAATCTTTAATTAATTATACTAAGAATTTATTATACAACTAAATGAGCAATTTCAGGGAGTATAAAACATGTAGCAAATAAAAATTATTAAAACTAGAACTGCGGAGTTTAAGAATGCTATTGGTGCAATAAAAATAAACTTAAAATCTTTATTGTGACAAAACCCACGCGCCCAAATAGCCGGAAATTTCGAAGTGGACACTAATGATACACAGTAATCAAACTCTAAAATTTCTTGACTCCAATTTGAAATTAAAATACTTAATAAATAAAGGAAATTTATCCATTTGACAGAACATAAATTTGAAGACCAAGTTGATCCTATATATCAGACTCACTAAAGCTGCGGTAATTTAAAATGAAATTTCTTTAAGTTGTATTAGAAACATATTCAGGACTGTAAAATTTGCAATGAATTGTATTACTTTTAAATTCTATTTTGTTTGAATTTTATGAAGTGGCAAAATATTTTGTATGTCTCGAACCGTCAAATGGGCACTTAAATTATCCGATTTTTATTAGTATTATTCATAGTAAATAAATGTAAACCTTTGAAATAAGAAGAAACAGATACTTAAAAATTTCGCGTTATTAAATCAACGTTCCCGCATTAATAAAAACATGAAAAAGTGCCTCTCAATTCGCCAATTAAATTGGATTACAAAGACATTTGATATCCTCTTTGATATTGAATCCCAAATAAAAACACTACAATTACTTACGAATGAAGAGCCCAACTAGCATAAAATCAAGATCAATGTATTACGCACTATATAAACTTTAAAGGCTTATTTCTACTCTTTTTGCAAATAGCATTTTTCCAAGAGTGACGGTTCTTATTAACAAGAAAAAATTAATCTAGTAGACTTGAATATGGAGTATTTCAGTAGGCAATGATCTCACAGACGATTTCTCTACAGGTGAGGCATGGGCGTGATAATTCAATGAAAGACAATCCAGTGTATGATAGATAATGATTACGAGTTCTTTTCTTGTACTTCAAAATACTCTATTAGCCTTCATAACTAGCTTGAGAATGATTATTACTAATGATACTATATCCGAACAAATTCATTGATTTAGCATATATATTTTTATACAATAGATTCCAATGTTGATGCTGTACTAATGTAAAAGTTTGAAGTTTCATTAGAACTTGAAATATAATATATTAGTGCGGAGTGAAATAATTCAAATAAGCTTACTAAGCGTGTCAAGTACCCCGGAAGGGAATTTCAATCGGGATTACCTTAAATCTGAGTTTTTTAATGGTGAAAAAAAACGAGAAAGCAATTGTATTTTCACTTATAGGTGAAATATTAGCTGCGGGAGAGTGTAGTTATTATGTCTCCTCGAATTGTATTTTTAACTAGGCATCTTATCTAATACAAATCATGAATAACAACCAGATGGGAAAATGCTTCTTACATCGAATAATCACCAGTTATCCACACATAGTCTGTCTGCAGCACCGATCTGCCTATCATTTTGGATTAATAATATAATACAAAATCTTCTTTTATCTCTCAAAATTATATGACGCCCACTAGATGCAATCCTATCGGATAATTATCCGAGAGCTAGCGATTTCATTAATTTTTCTAAATTCTATAAGTATTGAGTGAAATTAGGCAATCGAAAGCCAAATAAAGGAACTGCGCATTTTGCCTTTTCAAGAGATATAATCGCTTCTTGGATTAAAGAAATAGTTAATGCTATAAATTGTCAGCGTTGATTAGTGGAATAGAGGAAATAGCTGGACAAAATCATTAAACAATTCAGAATTTAAATAATTTGATCTTTTAATCAAGTTATGTACATTAATGGGGATTTGGAACATTAGTTAATTCTTGATTGTATGAAACCGGGATAAAATACTTGTCTGTAAATGACAAGTGGAAAAAATGATGGAAACCTGCATGACGCTGGAGATATGGATAAGGAAAGCGACTAGGAAAGAACTTAACACTATATTTTTTACGGGAATCTGCAGCTAAAACTACAAAACTACTCTTTCAGAGAGACTCTTAACATTATTTGTTCCTCCAAATTCTTTTGGCTACGTTCAAAGTAAAGAGAACACTGGAGGTTGAGTGTATAGAATAAAATGATAATGAGAAAAAAAGAATAATTAAGTACAAGTAATAAGATACTGAACGAAATTTGATCGACGATTGGCTGGAGGTCTTTGCGCACGCTTCTGAGTCTGGCTGCCTTTTCCGAAAGGTTCTAGAACACGAGATTCCTTTAATCAGGATTATTAATACCATAAATCCCCCCCTACTGGAATCATATATAGCTTAGTGTGCTCACCTTCAAACACCTGTGTATTGTTAACCAGGTGAAATGCATCTAAAGAATGTGGATATAACTGACATTGAATACAATAGCTGAAAAGGAAAATAATCCACCGCATTCAAATAAAGTATTTTAAAGACAAAAAGAATTTTCTGAAAGATATTAATATACCTTAGTAACAGCAAATTGATATATGCATTGGAATATAAACAATTCTGGAGAAGCATGAACACAATGGTGATGCTAATTTAATTAGGAGTTCGCTAATGTTCATAGTTTAAATTTATCTTCATAACTGATAGACTAAAATGTTTATTTTACTTATTAATTAAAATATATTTCCGAACATAACACGCTACTTTGCTAGTTATATAAATTTTTGAGACAGACATTTTAATGTTCAGGTGATTTAGATGGAATTAGACCTATTTGGTATGGGCGCTTAAATGGATCTTTTAATCAATAAAATTTTGGCACTTCGCTGCCAGTTGCTTAAACCTATTTTTAATCTTATCGTACTGATCATCAAAACAAATTTTATTACCAACCACATAAAATTAACTAAAAAGCATGCACTGGTGGATTAAACCGCAAAATAAGGGCCAACTTGTTTTGATATATGTGCATGAAAATGTTTGAATTCGGAGGATATAAACCAAAAAATTAAAACCCATTTAAATTTAATGCGATACTATCCTATCAAATGGAACATGAAGACACACTTATACTATATAGAAAAAAATAAAAATGGACGCTGGAAAAAAATAGCTGTACATTTCACTAATTGGAAGAAATATTAATGAAAAGTTAATTTAATTAACGAATAAGGGATATTTATACACCAGCATTAATGGTTAGGATTTAATTTATTTCAAATGGCAGGCGTTTTGATAGCTACCATTGGCCCTTTAGCTGACTTCGGGCTTCACAGTGAGGAGGAGGAACATCAAAGTGACGATAAGCAGAGAGGGGGACAGAATAATGATTTACGAATATAAAAGAGACAGAGAGACACAAAGGCAGAGAAAAAGTAAGGTGAGTACTGTGGAAGTGGTGAAATATGACATAGAGTCGGGTCATGGTAGTTTGAAGTCAGAAGTCAACTGCCAGTTAATAGACTTTTTTGCCGTATGAGTACACGTTACCCAGAGCGCACCACATGGAGGTAAGTCAATTGCACACCCCTTAATGGTTTAGGATATTGCTAAAATTGTTCATTTTGTCATATCACATCAGACTAATCTCACTAAAATGGTGTTCATGCCGCCTTTTACCAAGCTTTATAGAGACAGAGAAAAGTGGACCAATGTTCATTCTTCCAGTCTTTTAACTGTGTCCATAAAGTGTGCTAATTATAATGTTAACGCTTGCTTAATGACAGTGTCTGGTTTTTTAAGTAAATTAAATTTTTAAAAATTTATTTTTTGATGGGAACTTGATTGCCAAGAAGCAAGAAAATGAAGTTAATAACAGGATCTTAAAGTAAAGCCAAAGTAGGAGTAGTTTAAAATGAAACGAAAATGACGCAGTATTATTAGAATATATAGAATTATATTTCGAACAGCCGTTCCTGAGTATAGACTACGTACCAGACACGATTGCTTGGCTAAACATCTTCACAGATTGAGAGTATACACTCAACCCACATGCCCTCTATGTAACCTACATGAGGAAATGGAGAAGACCCACCTGATTCGATGCCCAGCTCTAAGGACAACGACGGAAAGCCAGAGATACTGGGAAGCAAGGAGACGGCTAATGAATTGCTATTAATTAACTGCTATAAATGTACCCCCCCCCCCACCCTTGGGGGAAGCTGAAGTCAAAGTGTAAGGGCTAATGATGAATATCACAAAGCCTGCCATTTGAAATAAATAAATATATTTCAGACAGAACGTTGAAAACCAATTCTTATCGACTTGCGTGCATTGGCATGATATTCCAAGGGAGTTTTATCTCATTTTTAACTTCTCAATTGCACACGTGCTTACATCCAAGTGCACAGTGGAATTCTCAAAATCTTTCAAATATTTTATTCAAGCAAAAACGACAACCACTATGATTCGAACCTCATCACAACACACTTACCCGTTCATCCTCTCCCGCCTCCTACCAACTAAATCATTAGTGCAGGTACAAATTCCAGTTCCTCTCAATTTACAGCTTCTTCCACCAGCTTCTTTCCATGGGGCCTCGCTCATCTTCTGCTCTTATTTCCCTCTCTGTGCCACAACTGAATATTTCGCCTTCCCCTTGGGGTTTGTAACTCAATAAGCGGAGACTTCTATTTCTGAAATCTTTGAATGAATTCGGGATCTTTGAGAATATCCCTGATGAAGAGCAATTGTATATCTGATCTATCAATATCAGGTTCATTGCCCTTTGAAGCAAATGAGATTTTACAACACAAAGAGTTTACCATTAATAATGAGGTGTAATTATTATCTTCTTACATTACTTAATAAATAAATAAACTAGCAATTAGGGGAGCAAAGGCAATTAATGGCAGATACATTAAACAAATCTCCCATCTACATATGCTGAAAAAACCAGACTGAACAACAATAAAAACTCCTTGTCTGATTAAGTGGATAATGAACAGGTGTTCTCAAT